GCAAATGGTTTTTGCTGAATTTCACACTTTTATAATCCAAAATCAATATTTTCGCTTTTTTGTACAATTTATGTTTGAAAATATTATAATTATTTTCAAAAATATTTGCTTATTTTTGATAAATACATACATATAAGCTTTTCAAACTTTCCGTCTGGCTTATTTTTTTGGAAATGGGAATTTGTTTTCATTGCGGAAAGTGACGTCACGGTTTTTTCTTTTTAAGGTTTTTTAAAGTTATATAGCAGACCAGCCTAATATTCCCGTTCTCTTTAAATGTTCAATGAGCCCATATTACATGTTAAAACTATTCATGAACGTATGTGCAAAATTTGTAAATATGAGTATAAATATTTCGGTATACGAGTAAGATGCCAGGTTACCTATCTAAATCTGCGATAAAATCTGATGAGCATTTACACATCGGATTCATTTGATATACAGCTTTGTAAATGTTTTTTGTCACAGCCACGACATTTTCTTTGGTATTATACTAGACGCGAAAAGTGAGATGATAGAAGAAGCGAGACTCGCAATTTTTTGATGTTAAAAAGTTAGAAAATTATTTTTAAATAAACTGGTGACAGAAAGAAATATAACTTCTTAATGTGACAAATAGTAAATTAGAGAAAGAAAGATGTTTTCGAACTTTTTTTGGTTTTTGGGTAAAAGCAAAGGTAAAAGTCAATAAAAGAAAAGAATCGAGAAAATGAACTATTCATTAACTCGATTAAAATTTAAAATTGCAGCGATAGATTACTTTTACACTGGAATAAGTAAAATTACTCGAGATTGCCTTTAAAACATCTTATTATATTTACATCTTCTCCATTTTCTTTAAATTTTATTGTTCACCAACTTTCTACCGATAACAAAATATATATGTACTTACAAATGTGACAAAAAAAATTTGACCATTTTCAAATATATATCTAGCAGAATAACATTATGGTCATAATGAGGCGCACCAAGTTGTAACAAGTAGTGAGACGCACATCTAGCAAAATAGCAAATCTGCCACCTTAAATGCGTCTTTTTATATGAGACGCTAACAGCCTTATTCTATAACGTGCGGTCACAAGGACTTGATAAGTTTTTTCAAAATAAATAATTTTGGCTATTTAAGATGTGAATAGAATTCCGTGAGTAAAATAAACTAAAAATATTATTTTTAAAGAATCTAGTGTGTATCTATTTTAATCAAAACACAGTACATAAGTTTTTATACCCTATTCGTATGACTACGTATTTAATACATGATGTTTTTATGATTTAATTCATGACTATATAAAAACTACGCATTTTGGGAGACATATCATGCATAATTAGCAAACTTGTTAACCTCAAATGTAAATTTTCTTAAATTTGAAAAAATACACCGAAATCAAGTCGCATGATCAGAATTGTAATGCAAATGCCTTGAATGTGACCGAGACGTAATTGAAACGCATTTTGCGTATCAAAAATTTATCGCATACAATCCGTGACTTTAAAAATGCGCTTACGACGGAAACTTTACAAAGTATCACATTCCAAGAGGTTTAGTAAAAGCTCTTGTCATTGTACACTTTTCCTGAAAGCCTTCTGTATGCAGCGGGTACTTAAAAAAAAGTAAATTGGGTACCGAAAAAATCGACCACGCTTTTCTTCCAGAATTTTCCAGAAATAATCAATTAAATAAACTAGCATATATTTTCAGCAATAAAGTGGTAGTTATTAAGTTTTTTTTCCTAAAATGCAGGATAAGAATGCTATGTTTTTAATGATGTGGTAACGTTTGTTGAAAATTAACATTTGCACAGAACTTTAAATTGAAATTTTTAAACAAACGTCAAAGTATCCGCAAATTCTTTAACGTCAAAATTTTGATTTTAGTCTGCAAACTGTCTGAAACTAAAACTTTTACGGACAGAAATGTAGTAAACTTTTTACTCGTAATTGACTTTGAATTTTGATCATCCGTAAACGTCAAAACAAAAAAAAAATTTTTAGATTTAAAATAATTTTATACTTACATATTAAAAATTAATAAAAAAAGTATTTTTTATATTATTTTTAACGTAATGATAGTCACTCAATACATCAAATTTATTTACTGAATTACTACGTCAGACTGTTTGCATGTAAAAAAAAAAATCTACAATTTTGACGCTTAATTGACTTTTTTTAAACGTTTAAGAATTTAAACTTTGACTGAGAGTAAAAACGTAGTAGAGTATCCGTAAACTCAGACAACTCAGATTTTGTAAAATTTGACGTTTAAGAATTCACCATATGTATTAATATTGTAAAAATTGTATTCGGAAATGTATCAAAAGCTTTAGCAGTTTTTTTACAATATAAAGGTATAGAAAGCTCTGAGATGGTAGTACAATCGTATTAATACCGTACTTGCATCGGTCTTAATACGGTACTTGTAATCGTATAATACCGTACAAATTACACATCAATTCTGATTTTTGAAAAGATTTTCGCATAATAACAAGCCACTTGTTTAGTATCACCGTTTCCGTGCAAATCACCTAGTTATTTTAAAAGAAGTTAATCTTGTTTGTTTAAATAAAAAATTTTATTTAGTTTTGAATTGATTTAATGAAAAAGATAATTGGAATAAGAAAATATAAACCTTCTGAATAAGAAAATATGAAAGTTCTGAATGAAGTTCAAAAGAAATGCAAAAGAAATTTATTAATTTTTGCATGAGACAAAAAATTTTTTTTCAATTGAGTATGATTAAAACTGACATCAAAATTTTTTTCCTATAACATTGCAATTAAAAATGGCAACTATCTTAGACATCTCACTTTTTAATGATGATATAAAAAAGAATAATGGATTTATAAAAAGTTAATAGCTGTCGACAAAAGCTTTTAAAAGCAAGGAAAATGAAGCACATGTCAATCACCGATGCAAAAGTTTTCGTGTAAATACACCTATTGTCAGAAACAATGATTACAAACGTCAAATATGATAATAAATAGGAACGTATGAAGCAAAACGCGTTAACTAATGAAATCAAAACGGCAATTCCAATACATATGTAGTGTATATATTACAATTTCATTCAAATACATGAACCAATTTACTAAATATTATTTTAGATGTGAACCAATTTCAGATTTCAAAAGAATAACTTTATTAAGGAGAAAGACAAGAAAGTTTTTTAGCCTTTTGAAAAAAGTAGTTGTGAATAAACAAAAACTTGATCGAGCGACACAGTAGAAATTGGCAGTATATACTTACAATCCTACATAATGTAGGATTCGCATATGTATGTATATTCGTATGCTAAAATGAACGGAATATGTAGGAAGAAATAAAATTTTTAAATTTCATATAAAAATCATATTCATTACATATATAGATTACATAATATATCTGGATTTTAAAAGTCATTTTCATAAATTTTTATTGTAGTGCAAAAACTCTATTCCAAGAATACAGATAAGAAAAATCAGTTAGCTTTGCCGTCGTCTCGTAATCGTACAGTGTTTTAACTTTTTTTATTTATTATTGTTATTATTATTTATTTTGTTTTAAATGAATACATATGAATGGAAATAAAGATATGAATATATAAGACTGTATACATTTGTATATGTGTTATATATTATATGATAATGATGTATTTTTGTATTGTACTTGTTTTTGGTACTCTTCCAAATTTTGATTGGAAAAATAAAAAAGAAATGAAAGTACCTCAGTTTCAGACTCAGTTTTCGCGAGAATTTCATTGAAAAAAGATGTGTTGTAAGAGTAGTGCAGTGAATGTAAATTTTATTCAACGCGTTTAGTTGATTTTTTTTAGAATAATAAAGTACATTTTATATTTTTGTTGGTTTAAATAATATATTGATGTATGTATATTTTTGTTGATACTTTCCAAATAATAATATAGTGCAGCTTAAATTAAAAAAAAATTTACTTGCCATAATAAACTTAATTCTGTACGTATGTTTGAATGTGTATGTTTAGATGCATAGATAATGAACTGATCTTTATGTTGTATAGAAATTGAGAAATATACATATTATGTGTAAAAAAAGTAGTACCTAAATATTTGCAAGAATGTACCTAAATAATTGAAGTTTAAATTAAAAAGTACACAAAATATTTTAACCTTTTGATAATATGTTTTCCTATTATATTAAATAATTAAATTTTTAAAAATATATTTAGTTAATTGAGTGATCTTTTATCTCGAAATTTTTAATTCTCTTAAATAAGCAAAATAATACATTTTTAAAATTTTTTTTGTGTTTGATAAATTTGACAAAGAAATTTTTTTAAATTAATCACTTTTTAAATTATTATCAGAGTTAAATTTACATTATTCTTGAGAAGTAAATAACAAAATGTTCTGATAAGAAGAGAGAGAAATAATCAACAAGCACAAAAAAGAAGAGAAAAAAGGAAATAAAAAATATAGGAAAATTATTTTTAAAAATAGATTTTTCTTATTAGCAATTTATACAATAAATAATATAAATGTGTAGATAAATATATATTTATTGAGATTGTATATGAATCGCATTAAAAATTTTTACATGAGTGTGTGCATTACTGAATATATATAGTGCTTTGTTTATTGTATTTTTATTTTAATAATAAAAAATATATCTTACTATAAAAAAAATTATAGATATTGCAGTACTAACATATGTACATGTTCGTATATAAAAAAAAATGCAAATAAAATATTAAAAAAGTATTAAAAAATTAACCAAATTTTTACTTATAAGAAAGAAAATAATAATAATAACAATAATGTTAAAAAAATAATGCTGCTAAATGTTGTTTTGTAAACATTTTTATATACCTATAAAGTTAAATTGAAATTATAAATAATTAGTTGTATTAAAATATAATTTTCATTCACACATTCACAATGTACTATGTATATAAATATATATTTTTATATTATGTATTATTAACTACATATAAATAATTCACAAACATTTTGATACGGAATTATATGTGAGAAATATTTTTGAATATTATATAAAAATTCAACAAATATAAGGTATTATTAAAAAATAAATGTAAATTAATTGTAAATAAAAGTGTTCTTATAAAAATAAAAAAATAATTATTTAAAATTATATTATAATTAAAAGTTGGTACATATATACATACATATATAAGAGAAAAAAGTTTATTTTTAAATAATATCGAAAATAAAGCTAGGTGGGTATTTTGCTTTTTTATGTATTAAAAAAATTAAAAAAATAATTTATTACTTTATTTAATATATATGTATATACATATATAAAAACTAGAAAAAAGAATAATAATTTTACAAGTACATACCTATTATGTACAGACTTAAATGTAGAGTATGTTTAAAAAAATCTTCCACTCATATAAAAAATAATCTGCAACTTTTTTGTTGATTATCACTTATTTTCATATTACTGTTCTTTTGATGATAATAGAATTTTTATTTTATTGTTATATTTTGTTCTTCATGAAAACTTGTTTTTTTAAATTTGTTGATCAAAATTATTACAACATATGTACATATTATAGTTGAAAATATATAAGATTATATTAAATATTTGTGTATATGTGTAAACATATATGCATACACAAGTATGTATGCATGAATATTCTTATAGCAAATTGAAAAGGAACTATAAAAAATGCATTCAAATGTAACAAGATAGAATTTAGTTTTTCTTTTTTTTCAAGTGGCTAATTAGACAGGTACTTAGGAAGACATAATATGAGTAAGCACATATTCAGATATTTTGCTATTTAGGCAGTTGAAAATAAGAAATAAATAAAATAAAATACTTAAGGTTGTTATAAAATAAGTGTAATTAAAGGAACCTATACCCATGTGTGTATATACCTATGGCCGACATACATACATACATATATACCTATGTACCTGCTTTGTAAGTAATATAGGAAAATATTTAATGTAAAAAAAGTATTGTATTTTTTTTTTAAATTTTTTGAAAAAAAATGCTTATTAGTTTCGCTCTGTCCGTTAGCCCCCTCTAGAAGTTATACCCCCTCAAAATACTAAAAATGCCATTTTTTAACTATTTATTGAAATGAAACCATAAGCATTTTTGAAATTTTGCAAGCGCAGAAAAGCAGTGGCTTGCTTTTCTTATCGCGGCCTATTATAGTTAAACTTAAAAAAAACAAAATGGTCGTTCAAACTTACCGTTTAAACTCGAGCATTATGTTAACCCTTCCTAATATTTATTTTTGCTTTATTTCAAAGACTGAATAAATCGTTCATCCTAAATATATGCAATCTAGAAATAATTTCGTTTATGAATGAAAATAATTTTAATAGTGTGGTAGGTATACATAGACTGCTTTTAAAAGTAATATTTTCGCTTTTTGGTGTGAAAAATGCTACAATACAAACCTTTGGTTTGACCCAACTTTATTAAATGCATGTTTAAAAGCATCTCTCAAGCTTTTTAGAAATATATTTTTAAGAATTTTGGAAAATACGTACTTATTTAAATACAATTGAAACTAAAACACTTACAATTAAAAATATTTTTTCTAAGTTTCTTATTGTATATTTTGTCCATTACATTTGATATCAAAATTAAATATGTTGAAGTTAAACGATAAACAAATATAAAAATTAATAATGCATTCATTAGAATTCTTTAATAAAAAAAATAACTTTAAATTGAATTAATATTTAAATAGCTTATTGGGTAGTTTATTTTGACTATGACGTTAGTACATTTCTAAACTCTTTTATTTTCAAAATAGTCTATTCAAATCTATATGTTTGGATAGAAAAATAAATAAACTACTTTATAAGGCAAATTACCATTTGAATAACTTTTTAGTTACCTCCAACTCAAACGGTGCAATATTTAATTTTTATTTAAATTAACTTAGGACATTTTAAAAATAAATAATTAATTCAAGTTTTCTGTAGCTAAGTTTATATATTTCGTTAAAAGTCGAAAAAAGAATACTTAAAGAGAATAAATTTCGTTCAATATTTTCAAAAATTTTTATGAAATAAATAAAACTTAGGTATCCACTAATAGATAGTTTAAATAAACAAAAGAAAATATTTAAAAAAAATGCAGCAATAATTACCTATGCAAATCAAAATGAATAAAAAAACTGGTGAAAAGATAATTAAAAATAAAATTAAATTAAGTAAGTGGAAATAGGTAAGAAAGATACCTGTCCAGGTACAAGTACGCTTATTTCTTCTTATCTTTTAACAATATATAATTCATCTCAATAGATAAATTTCGTACCAAAGCTGTTTGAATATTGGTTCTTAATTAAAATTCCTTTGTATTTTATAATATTGTTGCGTTAATACATATATTCTATAAGATCAGTAATTTGAATTATTATCGAGTACACTTAATTAGATTATTATTGTATCTACTTTCTTACCCAGCTTTATTTATAAAATGGAATTTGATTACTTAAATAAGTAAGTAATTATTCATATTTGAATGCCTAATTAACGGAAAATTATGAAATTAGAAAAATTAATAATTTTACTTTTTTTCAAAAAATTTATGTAATAAGTATCATTTCTTATTCTTATATACATAGTGAGTTCAGTTTATAACCACAAATTTTGATGTTAACGTAGTTTCTACACATGCAATTAAGTATATACATTAACAAAAATTTATGTTTGCCAATAGTTTGCTTGTAAGTGCAGCCGAGATTTCGAATAGTTATTTCCTAAAATGAATTTTTTTTGAGCTCATTGATGTAACAGTGGGTTACAGTTTTAAGTCTCATTATTGAAAACATTTATTTCATATGTTTTTTGAACACATTTAACACGGTTTACTGTCAAAACTATGAGAGATAGAGGAAAATGTTATATTGGTTAACTTTTAGATCTTATTGTAGAGCAACGAAAAAAACAAAAAATAATAACAAAAATTCTGATTTTAACGGGCTGTATCTCGAAAACTATGGCTCAAATCAAATTAAATGTAAGACCAAAAATAAAGAACAATCAATCGCCTGTATAACTCCTAATGATACTTAGCTTTATGTTGTATGGTTCCGAAGTTATAAGCATTTAATTACACACAGGAAAAGTCCGATAATTTTTTTCCAACATGCTGTTTTTGTTGGAAATTGATCAAAGAATTATCCCTGAAATTATTTGCAACCTTATGCGGAACACCCTGTATATGTATGCATCAACTTAAATAAAATTTCACTATGTTCTACACACTTAAGAGACTATTTTAAACGTAACTTTTGTATAAGCATATACAAGTTTGTGAGGGTAAATTTTTGATTTTAAAAGTTATTGAATTAAACGCTGATGAAAATAATTTTTCATTACAATTAAACATACTTACTTAATAGTTTTTTAAAAAAAAGTTAACTTATGTGCTACATAAAGTACCTAGTTAATACAACCAATTTAAATTTTTTAAAGTGATAAGTATTAGATTATGCGAACTTTTAAAAAGCAAATGTGTATTTGATATTGTTGATAACGATTGACGGTACTTATGCAAAAATCATTGCCATATAATGTGTAATATCTGTAGCCCAATTAATTATGACATGAGAATTAAGAGGTTTAGAAGTCTGTTATATTTTCATTTACTTGTAGGCTTCCGAATATGTTTTGAATTTCATATGTTCTAAGTAGTTTTTAAGTGAAATTTGATTCATTTAACTAAGTAATTGTTTTGAAAATTTTTACTGAGTTATAATCTAAGTTCCCATTTATTTTGAGAGAAAAAAGAATAGAAAGTACTTATTTAACTTTAGAGAATATCTTAGTTTATTAAAATGATTTACAATCATCTGATAAAAAATATAATAAAGCTTATCTTATCAAATATTTGGTTTCATAAAAATTGGTCTAGCAAAAAACTTTTTTTACGCCAACTTTTTGATAAAATTCATTTTTGAATGGTATATAAGTGCTTATGTATTTTAATTATGAAATGACACAATTTTATGGTTGAACTTTTTTATTTCATTTTTTTTAAATGAATGTACGTGGCCGATAAAATTTCATATAAAATTATAATTGTCATTATCTAGAATTTTACTATAAATTTATAACATGTATACGAGTATATATTGTTTTTTTGTTGATTTTTAAGTTTCTATAAATAGATATATATATACGTTATATATATATTTATATATAAGTATGTACATGAGAAAAAATAAATATTTTTGTGGTTGATATTAACAGAAACACCTTGGATGTACAAAGTAACAAATTTGAATTAATAAATTTAACTCATATTTTATAACTAAGTACCTACTTACTTAATTACTTTATGTTATCGCAATTTCTTTAGTGGACGTCATTTAGATAAAGAACTTTATAAATCAATTCCCCTTTTTTGTTTAATACAAATATAAAACCTAAAGTATATTTCAACTAAAAATAGAAATTATCCAAACGTGTAGTGCAATAAAAAAATTTTTTATGTTAAATACTTATATTTCGTTACACTACACTAATAAAAACTAATAAAAATTTATTTTGAAATATCCCTACTTTAGACCTTAGAGAATGCATTCGCGTTCATATTTAAATAAAGTTACTTATTTTTTAAGTATAAGAAACCTCAGTACCAGCAAGTGTAATATTGTGAGTTTGTTCTAAAAAATGTGCACAGTTGTTTAAGAATAGAATAAAAGGAGATTGCTAAGTAGTTTTCGAAACGTTTCGCGTACCTATATATATATACAAAGATATACATACATACATCAAATTTTGATGTGAAACATGGAATAATTTATAATTCTAATTAAGCAGAAATAATTACTAAACTCTTATGTTAATTTAATATGTTTCAAACAGTAAGTATATATGCGTGTGCACTTTGCGAAATGCTTTGTCAGTTTGTGAAAAATTTTGTCGAAAAGCACTCTTTGAAATTATTTAAGAATACTCGTATGCGGGAAGGTGGGTAAAATGGGGTAGGTTAATAAAAAAAAATTATACTTAGAATATTTACAAAATATGTACAGAAAATAAAATTAAAAATTTTCTTATACAGTTATAAAAATTATCGGATTTAGTTTCAGATATGAAACTGGAAAAGTAATATTTGTACATATATATAATATACATGTATTATACTTGTACTTAAGTATACTGGACCTATAAAAAAAATTTAAGTGATCATAAAAAAGGTAAAAGGTAGAAAATATTCTGCTAGTTTACGATTTGG